TGTGTGTATCTGAACAGATAAACCGTACACTAAACCTATCTCACTAACATAACAAGGACAGCCCATTCCCATATGAAATTATAATGTACACAGGCAGATTAGGATTTACAACATATTTTGGTGGGGGAACACAATTCAATCCATAACAAGGGATGTTTGCTGTGTTCTTTCATTCTAATAAGATGTAAATTCTTACTTCGCAATCTTCATCTGCTTCTTTTTCCTCTCATTTTCTTACCATAATTCAGTTAGTCGGTCAAAAATCCTTATTCGCCTTCTGCTAAGCAGAGGTCGTTTGTGGTCGCTGTGGACGGTGCAAGGAAAGGTGGCACAGGTCCTGCCCTCTTGTGGAGAAGGTATAGGAAAGGGCACACCAGGAACAGGCGAACTAATCTAATTTGACAAATTACTAGATGGCATATGGTTAGGTGCCACTGAGTCAATTTCAACCCACCCAAACCCCACTTCCAACAGAGCGCAGCTCTCCCAGTCCTGCACCAGCTTCCCAGTTGTTGTTCGGTTGAACCCATCGTGGTAGCTGCCGTGTCCATCAGCTCATTGAGGGTTCCCTCCTTTCTGCTGACTCTGCACTTTACCAAGTATGGTGTTCTTTTCTCCCCCAATAACATGTCCAAGGTATGTTAAGATGCCGTCCTTGTCTCTAAGGAGCATGATGGCTGTACTTCTTTAAAAACAGATGTTTGCTTTCCCAGAAGTCCATAGTACTTTGATCATCTTCACCACAATTCAGATACATCAGCTCCTCTGAGGTCCTGTTTATTCGTTGCCAGCTTTCACTTGCATAGGAGGCCGTTGAAAATACCATGGCTGGGGACAGGTGCACTTGAATTCTGAAGGTGACATGAAAGATGTTTTTGCAGGTTTTCACAATGTTCATTTGATTTCTTGGTGGATGTTTCTGTATGAGTTGACTGGGGGTCCACGTAAAATGCAATCTTTGACGACTTCAATCCTTCCTTCATTTGTTATGACGTTGTCCGTTGGTTCAGTTGTAAGGATTTTTGTTTCTTTACATTGAGTTTCAGTCCATACTATGGCTGTCGTCTTTGATTTCATTATCAAGTGTTTCTAATCTTCCTGCTTTGTTTCAGTAAGCAAGGTGTGTCATCTGCACAT